AAGAGAAGGCTTCAAGCCTCTGTCATGAATCAGCAAACCTCTCCTTTTCACCAACGCTGCTGTACTTACTACCTGACGTTCTAATCTGAAAAGGACGCGGTAATATATTATTAATTGGTGCCCAGCTTCCCTTATGCAAAGGGAGGCTGGGAGACTGCTAGTGGCATTTGACTTCCTGTGCTTAGAAATCCTCATTTGCTCACTCACACCCTGATCCCTTCACACCAGAGCTGTTTTATTGTTTTATAGCCCTCCTTACTGCTTCAGTTATCAAAGATTTCATTGTGGCAGGCTTCGCGATTTCTCACTTGAGAAAGCCCCAGTGCCTTGCTGTTTTAAGCAATTTGGTCACTTGCGAACGCCTTTCAGACAAACATTTCCTAGAAGCTTCATGCATGTGCTCGGAGACTTCAGCCTTCTGGCACCAATCCACAGAGAAGCAGTTTAACAGATTAATCAGTCAAAACCATTTTCCATGGGCGCTTGACCAAAATGCCATAAACTTCCGGTTAAAGGGGGTGGGGGAGAATCACCTAAATGAACTACGTCTCTTTTCTCCTTACGATTTGCTTCCCCGTCCCTACGCGCTACATACATATTCAAATAAAGGTTTGAATTGGTACTCACAGAGAAATGCACACGCTCCTTCTCCCAAAAGCAATTTTGGAGAGCTAACTCCACTTTTAAGTCGTATTCCTTGCAATATACTATTTTAAAGACCGTCATATTGATACAGCTATGACCTTCCGTGCAGCCTTGATATTTTGAACTATTTACATTTTATGGAACAGTTTCAGCGAACCTTTATTTAGTGAATAAAAGTTTAAAGCTGAAGGTTATTTATGGTTCCATAGAGATAGGCCCTGAGTGGCTATTTAGAGGCACGTGATTCCAATAAACTTTGTTTTATGGCTTGAGAGTTGACAAGCCAAAATATAATTCCCACCATAAATTAGTTTAAGAGCACACAAGTGCAGATGCTTCAGTTCCTGGAAGCAGTAATAGGGTAAGTGTTAGCAAGGAACATTCAGCTTGAATCCGAACATCGAGACATTTCTTCTTTCAGGTCCCCCACTTCCACTGGAAAAGCACACAGTAAGTCCGTTATTATTCTTCATACAACCATATACGTGATCGAGAGGCTCCGCTGTTTTTGTGCCTCCTGAAACTAGCCCTGATATTATAAGGATTGAATCAGATTTACTGTAACCATGAACGGGTACAGTTCCGGTACTTAGGATCAGGCAGAGAATAGAATTAGGTTGCTTTTCCATGTCTGAGATTTCTGATTATAATGTAGCATCTCACTCTGAAACTAACCCTGTTATATCCCGGTAAGGTGTTTTTTTAGTGTTTAACTGCTGAGATTCCACTCTTATTGCAAGTGCTAGCTGTTATCCTGGAAGAAAACCGAGTAGCGTAGAAAAAAAAAAGGCTTAGAAAGCTATGAACTATTATTACCTATTCAATTGCTTTGTATGTTAATAGAACAATTCTGTAAGATGGGGTAATGGATGATGCAAAATAGTTGTTAATAAAACCAGATTGACATTTTCTCTTTAAGCATCTATGTTTTAATGAGCATCAGTCTGAATGCACGTAAATTTTGTTTTAAATTACTATTTAACTCTATTTAATTAAAAAAAAAGAAAGGTGAAGGTAAATCCTACTAAAATATACCCTCTGGTAATGCAGACAAAGACACCTTGGTTAATGTTTGGATAATTACTGGCAGTCTTAAAGGGTATTAATATTGGAGTAACTCCTGCCATATTGAAATAGAATTATAGTTCTTTCTAGACTCAGAATGGATATGAGGTTTTCGTGACGTGTTGCTACACGTTATAGGTTATGAGTGATCAAAGGTGGATCTGAATACCTAATTTGGATGTGAGTGAATTACAAAAGAAAAAAGGCCTTTGTTATTCTTTTTTCCAATGGTGAAAGTAGACGGTTTTCCTCCCCTTTTCCCCTTCTCTGAAATAAAACGTATACAATATGAACAGTAAATGAACAGTGAAAGTGAAACTAGCACACTTCAGCCATTGGAGAAAGATGTGCTCCTAAAAATCTGGTTGAATATTATTCTTAGTTCGAAATGGAATTCCTTTCTACTATCCTGTTCTCAGAATTTGCCATCACTTTTTCTGCCTATTTACATGTCATATGTTTCCATAAATGTTGTAAAGAAATATTATTAATCAATTAAATATAACAATAACAAACGTTTTTATTGCAACAGGTTCGACACAATGGAAAGACGTCTACAGTAAGTAACTCCTAATTTCTTACAAAATTAGCATTGAGTGAAAACACTGATTCTTTTCCTTAGACTGGAAAAATCAGAGAAGAGATGCCATTTTTTACGTGACTACACAGTTGTTTTATTTGTATATAAAGATTCTTGGGCTTCAATTTATTTAAGCCTGTCCTCGTGCATGTTTATAATCACATATAATATTAAAAGTTGTTGATGTAGAGTTTCTTTAGAGATAATTACAGTGCAACACAGGTGCTAGGTGTCATATTATGCTGCTCTTAAGTAGCATAAACTAATTAGCAGTAATACCATTTTAACGTGCTAGAGCTATACAGCGCCTCCCTGCGCAAATACTGAATTTATCATGTTATACCAATAAGCTTGGCTACTCCTCCTCTTTTTCCAGAAAGGATTCAAAATACAGTTGCCTTTGTTATCTAATTTTAAACTAGTTTGGAATGGCATAATGAATAAATGGCATAATGGCATTTGTATGTTGTTAGCATTAGTAAGCTGAGTTGTTTGCCTAGTGATGTAATTATATTATTCTAAATAGTATCACTGATCCTCTGATTCAATTAAGTCTTTTTGAGATAGTGAAAATATGACATTTATTTAAATGATATGAGGAAGTGGACTAGAACTAATATTTGAGTTCAGTGGAGGAACGTCAAACGTTACTGATTTTCCAATCTTTGATCATTCAATATGAAATGAAACACAAGAGAATATTGGGGGGAGGGAAGTCTGTGACGAAGACAACAACCAAATATAAAGTAGAAAACGCTTGTTTTTGACGCTGTATGACTGAAATAATGGCAAAGATCTTAATTAAATGCATTTTAACGTCATGCTTCAGAGGAACATTGACTTGTTTTTCTAAGTGAAAAATAAAATCTAAGATTGCTGAGGATTCATTAAACTTAAATTTCCTACCATTTCTGCAAAGCATGAACTGAATGTGGTAATGTGCAGGAGTGGAACTGTACGTATTTATATTTTTCTCTGCTTCCTTTTCACACAATCTAACCAACAATCTCTTTTACTTCTTAATACCAGGCTGATCGTTCTGATATTGATTTTACTTCGCAATATTATTTTTCGAATCCTCTCTGGCTGAACTAAACAATTGCCTCTGCTGTAGGTTTTTAATTCCCTTCCATAGGTAACTTCTCTTATATAGCTCAGCACGGAATTGCATGAATGCTCTTGCTATATAATTCTGTGGCCGACCCTAATCTATGGATTACTTTCTTTATACAAACCTACATTTAGCATACTGATTATGAACCAGAATACAAAAAGGCTGATAGATCAAAAGCATTTGTATGGGCAGTTGAACAGGAGGTGAATATTTAACGCTTTTGTTCATCAATAACTCTTTGGCTTTGACCTGTCTGAGCAAGTCGTGCAATAAGGTGAAACGCAGGTCACAGCGTCTAACAAATATGAAAATGGGCACTATTTAACAGAATATGGAAGTGATTCTTCCAACGCTATCGATCCCTTCTGTTCAACACTATACATGTTTTTCGGAAACCAAAACTTTCTGCTGAGCTGTGAACCAGATTTTGTAGCGTTGGCTTGTTGAGCATATTGAACTGTTCAGCGTTCCATAGTTAAGCACTATTAATAAAAAGAGCAAGCAAAGGGGCTATATTAAAATATTTAGATGCAAATATCAGCAATCCAGGACAGTTGATTTTGCTCACAAAATCGTTTGGAGTTGCACTTGCTATAATTAGCACCGCCATAATTAGAAAGTTGATGTTAAAAAATATCTTCCCCAAACACATCAAAAGTAGATGTTAAATGTAGCATCAAAGCAAACCTTACTTTGATAAACGTAATACCCCGAAATATGCACGCACACTCTTGTTTGTCCTGATTTTCCTTGTATTAAATAGTCGAAGGAGGAGAGGTTGACCACAGGACAGCACTGAGGGGCTGGGTCAGACACAATTCATGAACTTTTGTACTCCTGTGTGCTGCTGTCCACAACGTAAAAATAATGAAACTTTGTGATATGTTTGTAAATGATTTAGAATGACCTCTCGCCCTGTCCTTCACCATAAACGCTACCGCACGGAAAACCTGAAGAGTGTGTCTAAGCTGAGAGTTTTGATGATAGGTTCACATTCCGCTAACAGGAATAATAGTTAGAGACAGCATAATGTGATGGAGATTAATTTGGGGACCATTTTAATAAAGTAAAAAACGTTATCATTTAAATCTCTTTCCACCAATTTCTCTCTCTCTATGTATATGTGTGTGTGTGTTGCTTCCTTTTTTATTCCTATTTCGATTAAAATAAATCCTTTTGGGGAAAAAAGTGATCAAATTAGGTAAAATTTCTTTAGCTCCATAGCGTAAATGTATAATTCCTCTTCATTTTTAATTTTTATTTTTAAAATAGTTTAATTTGATTAGTAACATCCATTGGCTTTAGTGGAAATTTAAATGACAGAGCATCTAAAGTAATAACCAGATCTTATTGATCATTTGTAATAATGTTAGTAGAAATTTGTGGCTACAAATTCTTACAAAGTTATAAAGATCCATTTCATCAATAATAACATATCTGAATATTTTTTGAAATCACACCCTTCATCAAATCCATATTTCAGAACTTTATCACAACAGAATAGTTTGCATTCCTCAGAAGACAGTAAGGAATAAGAAAATTGCAATAATCCTGACTATTATATTGTAGATGAAAACAGAATGTTATTACGTTGTCTATATATACCCTGTAGAACCGAATTTGTGTGGTATTCACATAGTCACAGATTCGATTCTAGGGGAATATATGGTCGATGCAAAAACTTCACCTTTCTGCAAATGGTTAGAAGTTTAAATATTGAAGGTATCAAAAGACATGTGCATGCTGAATACTGGGGAATTCTAAAAGTTTTGCTGCCTCTATCATATTTACTACTCACTTGAACAATGCTTAATATCTATTTGTGTTGTTCATAGTAACTATTACTAATAGTCTGTTAATTTAAAACGTTCAACACAAATTTTCTGAAAACTACCAATTAAGTAATGAATCTTTTAAAAGACACTTAAAAAGTTAGTTTGATATGCCAGATGTTAGCAAAATTTTCATATCAAGTATACAAATTTCTTCCAAATATTTATGACGATAACACCAGCAGGATTCGAAACACTGAAAGGTATTTACTTGTATCCCAAGAACGCTATTGATGAATGAAGACTGCATTTATCTAATTACATCTGTGAATTTTGTACATAAAGTTAAATGCCATCTCCAGTTCAATTCAGTGGATTTTAGTGATTAAAAATGAATGTTTCCTTGTTATCTGCGTGATTTTTTTAATATTGAGACTTGCAAAGTGAAGTAGAAGTTACTGATTGCCTAATTTTATTCAACTGAACTAGATTCTGGTAACTTTTGGATGACCTCTGCAAGACAAAGACAGGACAGATCTATTGTACATCATATTACCCTCTTCTTTGATGTCTTTTCTTTTTCTTGTTTCCTTATCAATTTTCCTTCCTCTTAATGCTATTTTAGCTTCTCGGTCTTTATTTCTTTCGATATTTTGTCTGACAAATGTAACAAACCATGTTTGAAATTATTGCTGGTGAATTAGACTAAAGGGCATCAAAGGTTAGAAAAGTCAATTCAGACAAAAAGCTTGATTTACCTGAGGGTCAATGAAGCGGTCATCGCTTGATGAATATTCTTAACATATTAATATCTGCTTTTGAAAATAAACTATATTGAATTTTGGTCACTTGATTACACGTATATTATTTAGTTAAATTGGTGGAAATTATGAGATGCACACAAATCCGGTGATAAACTCCCTGCCTCCCCATTGGCTGAGCCAGTCACATGGATGCCTAACTTTATTCAGTTGACAGCAAGTAGGAGGGCTCTATGGAAGGAGAAAAAAAGACAACACGAGAAAAATTAGTATTTTCTACCTTCAGAAATTAATGGCCATGAGTTCGTATATGGTGAACTCTAAGTATGTGGATCCTAAATTTCCTCCTTGCGAGGAATATTTACAGAATAACTACTTAGCTGAGCAGGGCTCCGACTATTACAGTGCATCGCAAGGCTCTGATTTTCAGCATCAGGGAATCTATCCACGGTCAAACTACAGCGAGCAGCCCTTTAGCTGTACCAATGTCCAAGACTCTGCAGTGCAGCCGCGGGGTCATGGACAGGAGCAATCCGGCCCACCGAGCCACTTCCCCGGTCAAGCAGAGCATTGTCTGCCGCCTCCAATATCCAACTCACGAGCCTGCAGCCAGCAGCAAAACCTCAAAACCCCAAACGGGTCAGCAATTAAACAGCCAGCAGTAGTTTATCCCTGGATGAAGAAAGTCCATGTTAACTCGGGTAAGGATTATCTTCTTACTTTGCTCTTCTACCCTGATTAAGCTAATCCGGTTAGATGTTTGCTAAAGTCCTTCCAAGACTAGTAAGAGATGAGGTTTTTAAACTGAGGTAGCCAATTACACTCGTCATAAATTTTTATTGCAGAGGAAATAGGCCGTTGGCCATGTGGCTCTTTTCTGTGGAGGAGAAAACTCCATTTTAGGAGCATGGTACAGATTTCCAGAGTCTCTCTCTATATAAAGAAGGAAGAAACATGTACGTCTGTTGTAAGGAAATGTGATCAGACATAACAACCATCTGGTAGCCTGTAAGGTTTGTTTTATGAAGTGTAACTAGAAAGCCAAGATTAGATTGTTAAAGTTATACGTATTTTTTTCTCAGTGAATCCCAATTACACCGGAGGGGAACCTAAACGCTCCAGAACAGCCTACACAAGGCAGCAAGTCCTAGAACTGGAAAAAGAATTTCATTTTAACAGGTATCTGACTAGGCGTCGTCGTATTGAAATAGCCCACACTTTGTGTCTCTCTGAACGCCAGATCAAGATCTGGTTTCAGAACAGAAGAATGAAGTGGAAAAAAGATCACAAACTGCCCAACACTAAGGGTAGGTCTTCTTCATCTGGTTCAAACCAACATTTACAGACTGTTTCCAAGGACCATCAGACTGAATTGACAACTTTATAGAAGAGGTGAAATTTTCCATTTCATCCTTTGATTCGGAACAGTACTGTACATAACTGACATTATCCAAGCAGAGCCTGCATGTAGCAGCTAAAGACTCAAGAGGGTCATCTTGCTTTAAGGTGCTGTTGTACAAAGGAGACAAAATGACAATACTTTGGACTTTATTTGAATTACCTACATTAGCACAACCTAAAAACTCTTCTTACAGGTAGTGGGAAGTGGGAAAATATTACGTGAGATCTTCGGTCCATAAAAAAATAATAAATCATTGAAAATGAAACTATGTTCAGTTTTGAATTTTAAAGTTGAGATTTGATGCTTTATTCCGGTATTTTGTTTTTGTTGCCTTTTCTGCCCCCATACAATTTCGGGATTATGCATTTGGGCAAATTCAGGACAGAAATCTATGTCTTAGTCTTTTATTTAAACTAGGGAAACTAGTATTTGTGAACTTTTTGTGCTGCTTTACATTTCATGGTGTGATGAAAACACTTGCTCATTACCATAACACCTCAGAACAAATGCGTAGAAGTGAAGTGAAAACGGGTTATTTTTTTCTGCTTATGCTAGCGTATTTATTTATTGTTAATTAGAAAGAGTAAAAAGAAAAAGAAAGAAAGAAAAGAAAAATAGTCAAACCAAAAATACTAAAGAGGAGAGGTGAAATCCAGTATTCCTTCTTTTCTGTATCCATATGCATAATGATCAGTTAACCTGAACATGCAGAACTTTTCTGTCTCTTTTTTCTGATTTCCTTTTGTGTATATATGAAAGCGTTCCTAAATCTTAAAAATGTATCATCAAGAAGTTACATTCTTTATATTGTATTTTAAATGTCTGCTTTATTCGGCGCTATACTTTAAAGCAGAGTTTCCTAATTTAAGAAAAACAAACAAACAAACAAACAGAAAGCTGTAAAAAAAATAAATAAACATCCAGAGTGAAAATCAAAGCGATTTGTGGCATTATTTAAGCCATTCTGTCTTCATAATAGATGACATACTCTTTGTTTCATGTCCTATTTTTAATTAAAGTATTGTTTTTAAGAGGGATGGGAAATATGATTTGGGGAGGGCTGTTCGTTTTTAAGAAGAAAAATGAGCTTGGATTGAACGCTTAGAAATGAAAGAAAGTTAATTTTAGAGGGAAATGTAATGTTTTTATAATAGCTGAACAAGTCTAATGTACTTTGATTTGTTCGGGGATGTCTTTTGCATCATTGAAAAGTTTTTTGGCAACGAGCCTTTCTTATTTCTTCGCTAAAATGCTAATAAACTGAGCAAAATCAACTTGCCCTCTTAACTTACACCTTAATGTAGACGGATTTAAAGATCAGTCCTTTATTTGCACACTGAAAACAGTCACGAGGATATACCAGTGCACCAGCTATTTTAACTAGACATTGCTTCTATTTTTAACCTAAATTCTTACTTCTATACAAAGAAATACAAGATAACAATATCTGAGTTATTTGGAAAGTTCAAAAGCGTATACTAGTTGGACTAGGTTGACAATAAACTAGTATCTGGACATTTTACTTGAGAAAACACTAGGAAAAATGATTTAATATAGGTTAGAAATAAAAAGGCAAGAGCTTCAAAAATAATTTAATTGGCAAAATTAACTGTGATCAGGGATTAATTTCTGCCCTTTACTCATCCTTAGAATTCAGTAAAGTGTCTTATAAGCCTTGGTCTTTTGTATTAGAGCCTGAAGACAATTCTTTGTTCTTCCTTAGGGTTAGCCTAGTTCTCAGACTTGCACATGGCCATACTTGAATCTCCACGTCGTGATATTAAAGATGGATATTCCTGCATTATTCTCATCATTGTTTCTAATACAAAAAGCACAGAGTTCATACATAGTAAAGACGTCTTTTTTCTGAAGCTTTCACGTTGAGAAGCTGAAAAGGTATTTTACTGAAGTTCGGCTAAATTGCAGAAACAGGTTCATCCAGAGGACAAATTTTCTATCCGATTAGCTGTATTTCAGCCGGGAAGAGTGACCTCTAAACCCTTAACCTTTTGGACCCTAACTACTCTTCCTTTTTTCTAACATGGAGAGCAGTTAGATGCAGCATTTGGGAAGGGCTTTCCTCAGACAACTTTCGAAGTTGTTGAAAGCAATTCTTTTTAAAATCAACGTTAACTCTACACAGTTGTCACAAATCATGTATTTTCTGTCAAAATTAATCTGAAAAAGAAGCTCTGGTTAGTCTGATTTAAGATAAATCCCGCTATTGTTTACCTAGTGTCTGTGCTGAGCAAACTGTGAACCATGCAGACATGTTATTTTGGGGAGGAAGCCCACAGCTTTGGCTTCCTTTGTGTAATAGTCTTTAAAGTAACTTGCTCAGAGAAACAAATCCTTGATTTGTATGTGTTAGGTTGAGATGGATACCTAAAATGAAAGGGCTAAATTCTGCTCTCAGGTGCAACCTCTCTCTGCTCCCCCGTTGAAATCTACTGAAGTAACTGAAAAGTAAAACAAGGATATATCTGAGAGTAGAAGTTGGCCCATTGTCTTTTGAAATGTTAATATCTTCTGGACGAATGTTTGGTTCAGACACAGCTCTTAAAATCCTATTTGCCAGTCCAGTTTGAGCAGGAGTTTAAGTTTACTTGGTTACAATCACATTAATAAACTCTGAAAATACTTGAATTGAGGCACCAGAGTACCAAAATATATTATTTATATTTCTGCCAGTGCTCAGAAGGTTCAGGGATGTACATTTCTGTGTAAGGATGACTACAAACACTGATTTGCTGTTATCCCCCATTTTACTCAACAGAAAAGGCAGAAGTGTTTTTAACTCTCCTGAGAGGTTACGTTATATAGCTTAAGAAGTAAAGATGTTTCTTTTTGCTTATCACGGATACAATGTTGTGTAGTCTTTTGTTATAAGATTGCAATGTCCAAAAATACTATGATATCTGTCAGCGTGTGATGCTTTTTATAGGCTTTATCAATGTTTTGCTGCCATTCATTAAAGTATTATTTATACTAGCTGTCTCCTGTAGTTTTGATGTAAGTCCTCCATATATATTTGAAATAAAAAAAGGTGTAGAGAAAAACATTCTGTTTTGTACCTTGACCAAATTGTCCTTATCATATGAATCTCCATTCTCTAATTATGCAGGCCCTTCCCTGCATAATATTGTAAAAACATGGACGCTTATCTATAATCCCGAAGTATTATATCCAACTGTCCCTTTGAACAGTTTTTCTAACATTGACTAGAATGGTGTGACTTTGGGACAAACTGAAGTTTGTATTTACATTCAGGCCGCAGTTAAAGTGCCCATCATCCATTTGTTAATGTTTTACATTTAACAAGCCACTCTTAAATGACTCACGGATGCATGCACGCTTGGTAAGTATTAAGAAACCACACCTGAAGTTACCTCGAACCCTACACAAGAGGTATGCACTTTAGGTGCGTGATGAAAGAAATTAATTTTAAATTAAAAATCAGAGTGAAATGGGGTAGTTTTTTTAAATTAGAAGCTGATCTCAATAAGACACAAATAAAAGAAAAATGTAGAATGTTGAACTTTCCTGTAGACCTGTAGCAGACTCCTCCTTTCTTTTTGATATAAGCACCTCAAACAACAATAACAAATTTCTTACTACAAGAGGTCGATTGCACTATTTTTAGCTCAGATATATGTCACATATGACTTATCTTTTCTTGAAGAGTGGCCAAGGCATGAGTCCAAAAATAGATTATCCCTCTTCGAACGTGAAATGAACATAACGCCATAAATAAGGCTTGTGCCCTGAATACAATGGAATGCAGGGGGGAAGATGTGCGTACATGTGTGTTTTTAAGTACCCAGACATTAAGTTTAAATATTCAGGCACATTTTCTGATTATACTTTGACCGTCTTGTGTCTAATGGCTCCTCCTGTTACTACCAATACATCAATACAATTCTGTATATTATATCACCACTAGTCGTTAAGGTAAGAATGAGGAGCAAAGGCAGAGTCAATAGCAAACACCACTCACTGTACAGTACAGTAAATAGGGACCTTTCAATGCAGAGCCACAGAGCTTCCAACGGCCATATTTGTTATCCTTTCCCCCTGATTTTTGTAACCGTATAGACCAAAACGGTCTTGCTAGGAACAGTCATAACAGGCAGAATTCAAAGTGCAAGGAAGATGATAAGAATAGATTTCTACAAGTCCTGACCACGTGATTTGCGAAATAATTAATTCAGCACGTCCCTTAAGAAACACGGAGTCGTCATTAATCTGCCAAGCAAAGGACTCTATCAGACTTGAAAACTGAAGAGATCCCAAGAATATAATATACAAAGGGTGTAGGCTCTTTCCCTGCACACCTATATCTTTGGTAGCAGCCGAAAAAGAGAAGCTTGGTATGTAAACATTTTACTTTTTATTCCTTCATATTTAAATCCTTAATGAACTTAGCTGTCAAATGCTTGACAAATAGGACCCTTTGCTTCCTGATTTGGAACCATGCAATAGTCAGAAGTTGGTCTAGGCTTGTGTGGTGACCTTAGATTCAGAAAAAAAGATTTACACTTTATAAAAAATTATGATGTTGGGCAAAGGCTTCCTTTGTTTATGTGTGAGTGCGTGTATACGTTCTGCATAGAGGTAACAAGAAGGCAAAAGGAAAGGAAAGGGTTTACTAAGAGCTGTATGTGTGGTGAAATGGGAGAAGATTTACTGGTTGCTTATGTCTTACTGGGAACAATACTGGCTGTCAGGGCATCTGCTGCCCATTCTTAAAATGGTGAGAAAAGGCCCTGAACTTCTTTTCAAGCAAGGGTCGTAAATTTTTCTTTGCGTCATAATAGAAGGCTATAAAACTGAGTTGAAATTTTACCCAAGGCAGGTTTTAAGTAGCAGATAATGAATTCCGAGCTTCCTTCTCTCCCCTCCCCCGACATTACTGCTACGGTTACACAAAGGGAAGGGTTTATTTTTATTTTTATTTTTGTCGGGTAAATGCCCAGTTTTGACCTGGTCCTTTTCGGTTTCTATCTGAAATGATTAGCAGAGCATTCGTGTGTGTGTGTGTATGTGTGAGTGGCGCGGGGGCGGGGAGAGGATGTTGAAAACAGAAAAAAAAGCAATGAAAAGCCCCCAGTCTTTGGGTCATTTTGCGGGAGACACACACTCTTAGAACTTTGAACCAGTAGTCCACGCTGAAAGAAAATTGAGGGTTGCAGTTTTTATATACAAACCATGTTTCCCCATCCTATAAAACACAGACCGCAAGGCTGAGATTTCTCTATTAAACCCCATAGTCGGTTGGAAATACTTTCTGCGAACAGGATATTCTTTATTATCCCTCGTTGGAGTAATTTCTAAAAACCCAGATTGTAGCTTTTATTACTTCCGTTTCGGTGGCAGGACAGAGGCAAAGTTTCCTCTGTTATGAATTATACATTCAAACAATAACACATTAATTCAATTATTCAAAGATGACAAACGCGTATGCGCGTTGGTGGTGAGACTAAACACCAGCTTTGCTGCTTCACGATAACTCCTCTGTTTTCATCAATGAAGTTTATATTATCCTCTTTGCCCAGAAAGAAACCAAACTCCATAAAGCCACGCGGTAACATGGCCCCGAACATAAATTGAAACGCTTTAATAATAACGTTTATTCCTGCATATAGCCTGGGATATTTGATCAGTTTGACAATTGCCGGAGTTGTTGTTATAAATCATCGTAAGTAATTCCTGAAAGGGTGCGAGGCTGCTGGGGGGCGGGCGAAGACTGTAAATCTTTCTGTTTTATTGCTCTATGAACATATGCTCCGACTGAAGAAGTCTTCAGATCCTTTACTGGAGACAAATTCACTCAAAGCTTGAGTCCTACTATCGCTGGAGGTTCACACTTCTTTATTGCTTTTGCGGTCCCCGTGCAATATCTTAATTTTTGCTGTTGTTGTTATGTTTATGCCGTATAACTTAAATGAACCCCTCTGTGGCTTTTGCTAAGAGATATTTACAAATTAAGCATAAAAAGGGAGATTTTTCTTCTCAATCCCTCCTCTTGATCTTTACTTGATTAATGGCGCACTTTGCACTTTCACTTTTGTGTAACCAGCAAACGAGATTTTCGTCATTAGAAAATGTGTGAACACTATTCCGAATATATATACACAGACACACACACACATACATACATACCTCTATGTAAATACAGATAGATACACTGATATAGAAATATATGGCTGGCAGAAACTGATGCAAAGAACAATTGACTTTTACTTGATGCAAGATTCAAGTACATCATTTCCAAGAAATATAAAATCATAAATCCGGAGTCCTAAACAATAATTTACCTTGAACGCGTGCTTCAGTAACTGGACTGCATTCTTTTTTATAACTTGTTTGCAAAGTCAGGAAAAGCAAAGTAATTTAGATAAATGTTACAATACACTTATGGGTAGTATTGTAAGGTAATACGTTACTGTCAGATCTCCATGCTTTGGATGGTAATGAAATCTTAGTAGATCCTAGATTAGATGCGGTGTATTTATAGCTACAGACACCTTAGAAAATCAAACAAAGGAGCTAAAATACATTTGTACAGAATTTGAGCTTTTCAGGACATTTGTATACACTCATTACATATAGAAAGAGTGTTCTAACTGTGTGTACATGTACAGGTATTCATATATACATATAGTGCTTTCTCTATCTCTTGGTGTATATATGTATATACATATACAGAAAGAGAGAGAGAGAGAGAGAGAGACAGAGAGAGATCAGACTCAGGGGACAAACAGAAAAGTAAGGCGATTTTTCTAAGGCTTCTTTAGTCTTCCGATCTGGAAAATCTGAGTTTACCTAAATGTTTCCCCCTATAGAGAAGGAGAAAACAAAGATTAGTGCATATTAGTAAAACCATTTCAGACAGCTTTGTAGTATATATTTGTACTTCAAAGTTCTTATTAAACCATATTTTCGGTCACATAAAATCCAAATTTCTTTTCATCTTCTATCGGCAATTTCTGATTTAATAATTTATTTGATCAGCGATGGCTGAAAAATCTACCATTCACATTAATATCCTGTGTATTTATTTTACCCCCAAAGAAAAGGGTTAATATAATCGGGATGATAGAGTGTTCATGGATTAAGGGATCCTTCCACTGAAGGTTGCTGTGGTAGTTCAATTTGTCTAAGAATGCTTGATTTCTCTGGGAAGAGAAGGTCTGCAAAGTACTTTACCAAAAAGATCAATTTATCCAAAGGGATTTGTAACACGTCGGGAAGGAATTGTTGCCCTTTGGTACCTAAAACAATAATACAACCCAGGAATGTGAGACGTTTTTGCATTGGACTGCTGCCTTGCTTTCACGTGAAGCTTATGGGTGCTTTTGGATCCCTGTGTACTACCCCCAGACATGTGTATTCTGGGGGGCTTAGAGAGGACGGACATTGTGAAAGTTCCAGCCTCAATCAGAACAATCTGCTCTCAGGATCACGTGAACAAATATGCTTGTATTTTAAGGCAGCGCCTATATTTCTGATTATAAAGGGGTTTCTGTTGCTCTTCTAAAAAAAATCATAAATGGCCGAACGATTTAAAACCAAAACAAAGCACTCGCCGGCCAATTGCTGACTTTTATTCCGTGGGATTGATTGCCAAGGATTGTTGTTGTGAATTAAAAACAACGACAACAACAATAACAACAACAAATTCCGAACTCCACTCGCCCTCTTTTATTGGTAGTTGAGCCTGAACCTGTTTTCATTCTATCGGGAATACTGGTGTATGAAAATGTCTGTAAAACCGCAAGATCAGGTTTAGGACAGTACTGTCTGCAGACAAAAGGTGAAGGATATATTCTAACAACTGCAAACACAGATATTGAGACCGAGGAGCCCAGGATTATGATAAATTGATACACAGGTAAGCAATTGCATGACAAAATGGAACCTTTAACCATAGATCTGCATTATCGCCTTTAGTCAGAGACTAAATATAACTTGTTAGTAATCTGTGA